TCACTTTAATCTTTGGCCAAATCAAAGCTAAATTAATGTAATTGATTGAATATTCTCTGTAATAAATACCAGTAGAATGATCCATTTTCTAATCTGTGTTCTATCAGCTGCAGTACCAACTGTATAAATGGAATTGAAAGAAAATCAGAGCCAAACATAAAAACATATTCATGTGATTTTTGCAATGCAAACTAAATACATGTCAGGTTCCCATGGCAACATGATATTTACAGTACATTTACAGATACTATAACTCCACGGCTTCATTCAGTGATATTAGTAACGCACAACTCAGCATGTTTGCAGATAAAACACATTCCCATCAGCTGAGAATCTGTATTGCTCATAAATAATATTCAGTAAACTGTTTGGTTACAGGGAGACGCTCATTCCAGCCAATTTAAATCCGAAACTCTGAACATAAACTGCTCCGGACCAGGGGTCTGTTTCACTACACCTGCTTTGTGAAATGAGTTTCCCTCATTTCAGGACTAACAGACTCAGAGTTTTCACGAAACCTGCTTTGTGAAACGGACCCCAGGTTAGTTCCACAGCAGGAGTTACTTTGGAGATCAAGTAAAAAGAGAGCCACCTTCGTGACACTGGAAACTCTGACTTTAGGCTCAACATACGTGGCTAACCCACTAATTTTGCTTCATAGTACAGCCCTCTGGCCCAGATTATATTTGTGGTCACACGCTGCAGCTGAGCAGCTCAGCCGTGCGAATGGGAAACTTGGTCTGCTGCTGTTTGCTGGCCAGACAGGAGGAGGTGCAAAGGAGGCAGAAAATGTACAGAATTGACAGAAACACCTAGAAAAGCCATAAACCCATGCTTATGACTAAATGTATCAAAAACCAAAGAACCGGTAGTTGATTTCAGACAAAACAGGGACACTGTGAGAAAGCGTTTTATACATGATGAGAAGATGGAAGTTGTCACATCATACACATCATCTTGTTGCTATTTTTGTCTGTCACCATTTAATTGTTATAAACACAGATGCTATTGTGATGTGTGGCCAACAGAGAATTCAGCTTCTTCACAAACTAAATTCCTTCTCAGTCAGTCTCATCATCATGTCTCATCTCATCAAGATCACTAAAGTAAAGCAAAGAGACTGGAATTATTTGTGCAACCAACAAATCCTTAAGAAAACAACTAATATTCTAGCTTTTTCTTGTCATGTCCTTGCAAGTAAATTGTCTTTGCTGCCATCGGGGAACCATTTTGCTTTACCTGCATGTAAAACTAGCAACTCTCCAAATCATTCATTCCTCCTGCTATTTGTTTTTTTTTGTTTTTTTTAATACTTGCTAAGTACTACAACTACGTTGTTGTTTAAAGCTGTTTAAATTGAATTAAACTGAGTACCACAGTATTACAAAATGATCACCACCATCAAATATTTACAGAGAATTCACTGACCTGAGAGACACAAGACGGTCAACAAGATGCTCTCCATCATGATGCTGCTCTGTGGACAATAAGAGGTCACTCTGTCTTTGTAAT